TTAGCGGGCCAATCACATTTCCTTTGATGTTTTTCAAATTAAATCACTTGCTAGGCCTTTCGTCAAAGGACTTGCTAAGTTTAGACTTGACATAGTCAATAGTTATTACATCATCCGTTAGTAACTGTCTAATCAAGCTATGTCTTAATCCAATATATCTGAATTTGCTATTATAGATGTTGACCCCAAAAAAAAGTACCAATGATGTGGCCAATAGATCATAATACCTCTCACGTCCACGCAAGTTGAATTCCTGCACACTTGGAAAAACCGTTAGTCACACGTAGCCTTCTCCAGAGGGATGGAGTTGGCCGCGCGCACTCCGACGGTCAAGTCAGTTGGAAAAAATAGTTTAGAGTGTGAGAGAGTTTTGAATGTGAGCCTCCAATAAATAAAAAAAGGGGTCGACTTGGGAGTCAATAGTTAAAAATGTGTGCAGCAAAAATATAATTTTAAAAGTCTAAACTTGCATTGCTCTCGTATGCCACTATGTGTGACCTTTTATACTTGAACCAAATGAATGGAGTCCATTGGATGATAGCGCACATGGCCTCATCCAAATGACTTCCCTTTCTTATCATATACATCAATCAATCATTGTCTTAAATGCTATCATCGTTTTTGTGTCTATAAAGCCTAGTCTGTACTTTAGACTTGACCAAACAGGATGGTGGCGACGACGGCAGTGACAGTGAGTTGTCTTGTCAACTCACGTCATATGGGGTCCATTTGAGATCTTGCCACTGTCTTGTCTTGGCCGATTCTATAAATGGGGTCTACCTGTAGAGAAGTCTATCCAGGTGTTTTATGTGGGAGAGTCGGATTTTGCGCGCACCTAGATCTGTTTGCCCGTATGCATCTGGGCTGCCTATGCCAGCGTATGAGGCATGAGCCCTCGAATTGTTTGCCACGTAGGCTGATTGGATCCCTTCGTCGGTCCTAGCTTTTCATGGCATAACAATAAATAATTACTATAAGCTTTAGGAAGTTTCTTCAATATCAAAATGGATAGAAACTGGTGTCATTTGTTTAGGCCAGATGGGAATTTTTCTTGATAAAATCTCAGGACATTTTGCTTCGACTACATGAAGCACGTTAAGAGTGTTTTACGTGCAAATATGCAAAACTAGGAATTTTGCGTGCAAAGCATGTGAGAAAATTAGATCATAAAATTTCGTACGAAAATCTTCATAGGACAAATGATCTACGAAAAGATCTTCATAGGACATATTACATCAAATTCTTAGGCGCAAAATTATAAAAAAAAATTAGAGACTTCTAATAATTTTAGAAATTGAAGAAAGTGTCGTCCGAGGTTGTTGAAAACATTCAATATTAAGAGTTCCATCTTTTATTCCAAATTAAAAGAATTATTTATTTACTCTTTATTTTGTACTTTTGTGATCAAAATATGACAGATTTTTTGTTGTTAGGGTTTTGATAAAATCTTGTTAATTCTTTAATCCAATAAATTGCTTATTTTTAATTAAATTGTTGTTATTGTTTATACTTTATATCGACATCATGTTTACTTGACCAATTTTTGGACTGTGCTTGGGATTTATAATTATATTGATCGTTAAATCAATTTTTATAACTCGATTAAAAAATGACACTAGGTCATATAGGCGATATAAACACTTCTATACTTAGTGCAATCTTAATTGACATTCTAAATTCAGATTTTAATACGGACGAAACAAAGCCTAAATCCCTTACCATCTCTCGATTTAAACTTGAAATTATTAAAAACTAGCCAAAAGATAATTTTTTTTTTCAAGAAATCACAGTTGTCAAGCCCCCAGGCCCCCAAAACTCTGGCCTCTGTGTGTTTCGGTGCGAGCCCGTGTGTCTTCGGGTTGGAAGGTAATCTTTCGCTTATGTATGTATGTGACGTGCGTGTGTTAATCTGTGTTTGTGAGAGAGGCACGGCGCAGAAATGCATACAAGGTGTTTGAAGTAATTGCTGAATTAGAAAGTTGCGTGAGTATTATAAGAAAGCTTACATCTTTCAGACGAAAATACCCTTCTGTTTAAGTGCGTAAACATTACGGTGATGTCTCATAGGATATTAAGTTCTGAGCTATTTTTGATTTGTTTTGCTTTGTTATTCAATTGCCATACTTCGGTTTTGTAAAACAGTGATCACTTGAAGGGTTTCTTTGACTGATGTATTTGTACCAGTCTCAGGATTACGCTCACGAGCTCAGCATTGGGGAGTTTTATCTCATTAGGTGGAAGTTCAACTCAAATTATGGGAAAACCATCGAGAGATAAAAGTTTACCCGTGCTCTGCTCCAATTACATGCTAAAACTTATTTTATCTTGACTGGACTAGACTGGCACAAAATCAATATGCCTGAAATGGATTGATTGATTTTGCAGGATATCTACTATAGGAAAGCGAAAGAGGAAGGCTGGCTTGCTAGTTGAAAGGAGCACCCGGACGAGGTATCTTGTATGCAAATCATGGGCACACTCGAATCGAGTGTTTTTCAGATGCAGATAGGGCAGGTTCCAA